TTAGGAGACAGCCATATATTTATTTTGGATTTCTCACATCATCTGTCATCTTAGCTTTTTTGATGAAAACATATATCTAGGCTGGTATAATTAACCACTTGCATATTAAAAATTCACGAATTTTTTTTTACCAAAACTTTAAAAAAGAGAAAGTTTTTTTTTCAAAGTAATGAAAATTCCAGCAATTCAAGGATATTGATCTGCAGATTATTATCAATATTTATACAGTACCTCAGTTTTGTGACTCAACTGTTCAAAGATTACCCTCTCCGGGAAGAAAATCACAAGAACAGTGTTACTTGTAAACGTTAACATTTACAGAAGTAATCATTAGATAAACATAGGACACTGATAGCACCGAATGTCAGGGATCTGTTTATTTTTAAAAATTGAAATATGGAAGAACTGAGGTGCATTTATGGACTTCAGTGATGAAAGTAACGGTACACATTTATACTAGAATGGAGCATGTTAAGAGATCTTGAATTGTGTATATAAAGGAACACATATATTTGGAACCTGATCAAAATTAGCCTGTGTCAGGAAAACCCCCCTTTTATGATACTCCTCAGGGCTATGGACAAATAAATCCTGATTTACTTTGATTCAAATAATTAAAGAATATCTCAAATAAGGCAGGCCAATGAAAGGACCCAGAAAGCTGTCAATTATTTCATGAATCGTACACTGTAAAGGTACACTCAGACCCCCCCCCCCTCCCCCACAACCAAATCAAGTTTGACAGAATAGTTCGCTGATGGGAAAGAAATTCTATGACAGCGTGGATGTGTTCATCAATAATTTCTCTCTAATTGACTCATGTCTTCCTTAGTGAAGTAATCAAATAAAATATTGATCTTGTTATGGTTTAGTACACCTTCGGGATTCATCAAGTACTCTTAAGAACAAGAAAATTACACAAAGTCATACTATTTTTAGTTAAGACTTATCTAATTTTAAGGACCTAAGCCTCGAGTAAATGAGTTGTGAGTACTTTTAAGAATGATATCCAAGATTTTATTTTTCTGAAGTAATAACAAAGGAAGATATTTTGTGCGATTATCAATTGAGCTATGGTTTGTGTATCAAAATGAAGTTATAATACAGTTGAAATTATAGATCACGGAATTTCAACATTCCAGTCTATGTGATACTCATTCACGGATGCAGATAATTTTTATTCAAAAACGTGACTTTAAACATGAAATACTCTTTGAAGCCAGTGTTAGTTAAAGAAATGGTATGTCAATATACATGTATATTACAGAAAAACTCAGATCTATATCACACATATCCTCAAACATATTAATGTGAGAATTGAAGATCAGTAAGTAGATGACCCAAGATCCATTAATTGCCGCCATTTTTGTCAATATGGAGAATTTTTATTGTTAAGATATTGATTTGTCCTTTAGATTGTCAATGTAACGTCTCATAAACATGGTAACCCATAAGATTTTGCCATAGAATTGCAATCTCTATTTTCCCAACCACATACAAGTTTTTTGTTTTTTTTTTTGTTTTTGTTTTTTTTCAAATTTTGAATTCATCTTATTTTTCAGATATTCTTTAAAACAATCATAAAATTGAATAGTTTAACAAAGCAGAACGATTAATTCTTACGCCTCTAGAAATGTAAGTTTAAAGACTGAAAAATGTGTTTGCACTAATCATATTTTATGTGATAACCAAGGATTTGGCAACCCAGTCAATTGCAAAAAGAAGTAATTAAAGAAATGAAAAATAGGTGCATGAACAATTTAACATTCCTTTACTAGTTCTTGCATCAACGCATTTGTTTGCAGAAGAGGAGACGAATGACCAAAACAAACAGCGAGTTGAACACTTGGTTTATTCATCACTTGTGAGTTTTTTTCTGAGCACAACGATTTCAATGATCATCAAGTAAATGAATTGTTGTAATCACATTATCTATCAACTGGAGTATATCTTTGTCACCTATAAATTTAGAAAGGTTCAAATTCGATTTTATCCATAAAATGTTTGTAGAATTTATTTCTATATATAACAGTTCTATTTAATGATGAAATGACTCAATAGAGACAGTGTCCCAGTCTAGGAAGACCAAAGCACTGCTAAAAAGAAAGAGCTCAATCTTTGTCAAATTCTCTTGAAGAACATCACCATTGAGTATCACAGCACTAATTCCCTCTTTCTGCAAGGTTTAGTTTAAGAAGAGTTGATAAACATTTTGAGGAAGTTTAATAATATACATTGCGAGATAGTAAACGGTTTTTCTCAAACTCAAGTTGCTTATTTTTTTTAATTTCCAAGAGACATGAGGTTTGCCAAGTGTCTCTTGAAAATTAAAGAAATTAAGGAACGAGAGTTTGAGAAAACTGTTTACTTACGAGCACTGGTTATCGGACCTGTTTCTCCCATTACACATGGACTTATGTGTTTGGATGAAATAAAGATGGCACTGAAGAAGGTGCTTATCCCGTTATATTATACTTTCATGTAAATTAGTTGAATCTGATTCGTCGAGAAACATTTGTTAAAAAACACTATTACCCGCTGAATGATGAAGCCACGCCCTCCAGCATAGCAACAGTCAACATTGCTTGGCGACGGGTGATATTCCAAAAAAAAAGTGACTGCGCAGAATTTATGCGCGCAAGGTTCACTGTTATATGTATTTTTTATAAAACATTCAGTATAACATAATAAATATTGCATGTAGTTGAGTGTAACATTGAAAAATTTTCACCCCTCGAAAACCATTGTCAACCTCAGCTGCGCCTCGGTTGACAATGGTTTTCTTGGGGTGAAAATTTTCAATGTTACACTCAACTACATGCAATATTTATATAAGAATGTACCTCCCTGGTAATATACTTTATGTTCTGTGTAAATGAAATATACAAAGGAAAAGTTCAAGGAATAAAGAATTAATCGAAGATGTTTACAAACATACACTGTACCTGCATTTTATGCCATCATAGGCATGAACTTGGACAGACCCTGGAAAAACAACCAATTAGAATCGTTGTTGGTATAAGCAGCCAATAAGAATCGTGATAGGAGTTTCCTAACATGAAGAGAAACTGCTCGGGAGTGAGGAGAGATGTACAGCTGATAATGGGAGAAAATTATATATAAAAACTAGAAATTTGACCAATATAGCTCACTCGAGCCCGTAACTCAAATAATGAGCTATTAAAGTTATGCAAGAATCTACAATTCTGAAATAAAAAAAATATATTCGTTTACGTTGTAACCTCTTTACCACTGCAGTTATGTAAGCATTCTTTCTTGGTCTCTTCTAAAACACATTGTAGGAAAATAACTTCAATTAAAAGATCGTGAACAGTTATATTGTACTTGGTTTAAGTACTGGAAAGAAAATTACAAACTAACATGAAATTAGTTTTAAAGGTACCTCAGGGAGACTCAAAAAGGTTTGTCAACGAACCACAGAGAAATATCCTGGAAATCAAAGCGAATGTGAAAAGAGATAGTAGAATGCACGAACTAAAATGTATTTGATAGATTTACTTCCCCCGAAAAGTTGAAAACTGTAAGTACAAGTCATAGCCCACTCAGCGCATGTAAACGAGTGTAATTTTTAACTGCTAAGGATTCATGCATTATACGTTGATATTCCTGCATAGATGTTCCAGGGATGTTGCAGGAATTTAGTACTAAAAATTCTGCAATACAGGGTCTAGTATGAAACGTTGGTTTCCGTTTTCATTCATTTTAATTCCTTGCACATCTTTGCTGTAATCCAGATATCGATTCTTTGAGGATAAAGAATATATGCCAAGTGCTCTGTATAAAATAAGCAGATTTTCGTACATCCAACTAGCAAGACATTTCATGCCCAAAAGAATATGTATCTAGATGAGAAATAATTTTATCTGAGACAAAAGGATAGAGGGGACGATGACTTGTAAATACTCGTCATTTATTAAATGATCGTCATTTATATGTTTAATCATGCAGCTGTTTTATGATTCTTATATATTTTCTTTATAGGAGGTTCCTACACTAATCTTTCTTTTTTTTCGATTGAATAGATAAAAAACCAAAAAACCACACAATGGGAAAAAGTTGCTCATTGCTAATAACTATTTAAAGGCTTATCATAAATACATATTGGTTGATTGATAATTACTTAATGCCCAATGCTTATTGCTTAATGCAATGTCATGAGGAATGTGCAAAGACAATTAAAAGCTGAAAATAAGGCAAGTAACAGAAGAGCAATAAGCTATTTCTATCAAGAAATTGGCAATTAGTACACGTCATTAGGCAGTAAGCAATTGGACTAAGCAGATGACAATAAGTGACTGGCAATAGGCAGAAAGGAACTAATTGGCAAAATCAATTAAGCTTCGTTAATAGTCTTGGAGAATATCCACAGTTGGGATGATGACACAAGTGCACAAATATGTGAGCAGTGAAATGTATTATTCTCTGCTGAAATTTGTTTTACTTTGGGGAAAATGATGTTATGGATTATTATGTTCTTTGAATTGCTAAACGTAAGGAAGACACACACAACATGTAAGAAATCCTTCAAGGGAGATTTTAAGACACATGCTTGTATCATCCTGGTTTTTCAGTAGCTCCCGATAGGACACCAGGGCTGTACATGTACATAGCAGCTTCATACGCTTATCAAAAAGTTTGTGAACTGGCCAAATTCCATCAGTTCGATTCTAATCATTATAAGACTATGTTAAAAAAATCTTTTAAAAATCCCTACGAAAAATAAGACAAAACACTCATGAAAACAGGGATAAAAATTTATTTATCAAATGATTTTCATCAAAATATATAAAAAGGATTCATGATAAAAAAAAATGACGAAGATATGATTAAAAACAAACACGTACAATAAAAATCAAATTAAAAAAAGAAAGAAAACTGATCTCATTCTTTGGTGTCAACATAATCATCTGAATCATTAAAAATAAATATAAACATAAAAAATGACATGATTGTAACAGATTGTTGGCCCTGTAGACAGGCACAAACACAATAGCATCAAAGGTCCATTTATATTGCACTTTTAATAAAGCGGAAGCACAGCTTGTGGCCGCCATCAGACATTTTAAATCTGTAAAAAAGAAAAACAAAATACATGTAAAAATTATTTTAATTGGAGTAATCACATAAAGAAAAAGCTTACTCTTGTTAGAATCTTTAATGCCCAAATATTAATATTATCTTCCAGAAGAAACATGCACTCACTTTTCTCATGATCTAGTTAATAAGCATGTTTGGAAGAACCACGCACATTGCTGGTTTGTGCTAGTTGCCATGCTGTCCATTTTGGTTCCGAATACTTGAACATCTGCCATTTGCGAGTGTGATTAAACTTAACTCTCTCCAACCACTCATGCTGAAATAAAGAAATTTTCATCGTTTTTTAAAAATTCTCAATGAATAAAAAATTAATATAAATGAATACTACCTGTGTATCAAAAAGCTTTCAGTTGGTTGACTCACCAGATAAGAAGGGTACTTCATTTTGTGAGCATCTTTGGAATCAATTTCTCGATTCTTTTCATTCTAGAAAAGAGTGTAGTACATAGAAATATGCCATCATTTAAAAAATCTTACAAACACTTGCTCATTTTTTTGGTACTTTTAAGAACCAATAATGTATGAAGGACAGAGTAAAAGGAAAAAAAAATATATGTAAGTGTAGTAATTACTGAATTTTTTTTATTTTCTCTGTATAATGTCTTACCCATTCATCCAACTGATTCCTCCAGTTGGCTATCAGAGAGTTGTAGAAAGGCTGTCGCTAAAGAACGACACAGATAAGAGAAAAATCATGCAATGTACGAGAGAGAGAGGGAGAGAGAGGTTTTAGCCCTTGACTAAGTTACATGAAGAATACAGTACTTATATCACATGACTTACCCGAGACACCTCAGGTTTCCTCCTGTATTGTCCAATAAGTGTCTGAGGTGGCCGGATTAAAACTTTTTCTGGTGCCTTTTTGACAGAACTACCATTATCACTCCATTTAACCTTTTTGTTTGGCACAACTTCGGCTGAGGTGGCCTGGGAAGGCAGGGATGGCCGCTTTTGTGGCACGCCCTTTCTACGTTTTCTGGTGCTTTCAGATATGAATGGCTGGAAACGGATAATGGAAGCATGACAAAAAATCATATCCACCAGCGATCTAATGTTCGCGCTAGATTTGAAGTTTACGTAACATACATAAAAAATATATATAACAATACAATATGTAAATTAATTAATATGACAAAATACTAGTAATTGCATTAATACAATTTCATGTGACTACTTATTTCGTACTCACCAACTGAGCACTGTTGCTCGGTGTAACCGGCTCCTTGTGCCAGACTGATTGGTTTGATGACCCTGGTCTTGCCTCAGAATGATGGCCAGAAGGCACAAGATCATACAGAAGTCTGTCAAGTTTTGAGGACCGAATTTTCACTCCTTCGGTGATGGTTGTTACGTCAGTTTCTGTACTATTTGTTGGGTAATAGTTACAGGAAATGTCAGAGGCTGATAATGCAGTCTTGGCCAGTATTGTTAGACCAGCAGACGAGCTGGGCAAATCCTCGGATATCTTTGTTGTTCCTTCCTGAAACTGTACATATTCCAGATTACGATTTTTATTTAGTTTTTAATTTGGGTTAAGTTTGATATATTTATAGATACTAGTGCAAGTTCTCTATTTGAAACCAATGCCAAGTTACTAGCATTATTATTAGATACATAAAATCAAATATGATACACCTTCATTTGATTTTACACAAATTTGAAAATATATTTATATACACCTGTACATGTACCTACCACATTACTACTGAGGCTTGGTTCATTCAGCTCACTTTGTTGTGGTATTGGTGGTGGTTTCAGAACTATTCGAGGTTTGTTGGGGTATATGTTTAGCAGCCACAAGAGTAATCTATTTATCTGAGAGGGCTGCGCTTTCTGGTCGTCCACGGACAGATTTGGGTTCCGTACTCTGTCTTTTTGTAAGTTTGCATTAGATGTCTGCTTGTTTGCCATGTGAGCCATTTCTTTCTCTCTGGCATTATGTGGAGCAGATGACATTTCATTTTGGGCCAGTATCAAACGATTGTCAGAGGTCTGATTACGATGACAAAATGCACTAAGCCTATCCGTTTGATTATCGACTTCTATTCTGCGTCTTTTTGCTGGCTGAAATTACAAATATAAACGACAGTGTTTAAAAGAAATCCAACGCATTATCTGTATAGCTGTGCAATTTGTCGTTTTCCCCCTTCAAATTAGTAACTATACACTCTTTCTCTCAAATAACAATACAAAAAAGTAAAAGCACAGAGAAAAGAGAATCCTTTTTTTATTAGTACATATACGTCACGGTAATGAGAAACATTTTTTTTAGTACATACCCCTTTTTTAATTGATTTTATTTCATTTATTCAAAATTCATCACCATTTTACAATAGTATATAGAGATTGATGCCTCTCTCTTTACCTACTATCACGCAACACTACGTGTTGCGAACTAGGCTGCCTTTTGTAATGCAGCGTACTAAGCAACACAGAATGACAAATGGAGACAAAAATATTAATATTAATAGAATCATTCATTACTACGAGTGTGGGATAGTGAAATTCCACCAAGGGGACAAGATTCACGTTCTAGGACGAGGCTTTGCCGAGTCCTGGACCGTGAATCTTGGCCCCGAGGTGGAATTTCACTATTCCCATACGAGTATGTAATGAATGATTATTTTTCTCGCAATATTTTATCCAAAATAACGGCCTGTCAATGACGTCGCCATGATAGGGCTAAAAATATATTAATTTAATTATATTAAAATATATATATATATTAATTTATATTAATTTAATATTATAATTTTCCATCTAATTAAAAATCTAAATACACCATCGGAGAGAGCGTACCTGAAAATGGTTTACACATAGTGTAAACTGATAAAATGAATTTCAGTCCATGTAAATTAATTAGATAGATAAAAACTGGGAATAAAAAAACTTATCTATCCGATAGCGTACACATTCATTCAAGAAGAATCCTTCCGCGATCTAAAAATAGTGCCATTTAAAAAGTGAAAATACGACAATATTTTGAATGAAAATAAGTTTATCTTAATAAGTTAAATGACAACATTTTAAGTATACGTAATATTTCTTAACATTGTTACAATTTCTTTATATTAAGACGGAATGTTTACGTTATCGCTCGCGGCGTAGTAATACACAGTGTAAGACAGAAAAATCTCACACTGCTGTCTCACACCGGACAAGTCAATCTCACACTGGTGATTATGCGAGAAAAAAACGTACTGGATTTTATTTATTTTAGATCTTATATATATATATATATATATTATATTAGCTTTCATTTATTATTACTTATAAACCAAATCCATCATCAACTCAAACCACCCCCTCCTCGAAAAAAAATTGAAAAGATACATGTATCAATCATACAATAATTTGTATAGTCCTATATGCAAGAATATTAGATAAATGTTACTTTAAACCACATTTAATACTAACACCCCGCCTATATATGGATATATAAAAAAAATGGATTCATGAAGAAGAAAAATCCAACTCGACGACTTGTAAAAACTGTTGGATGAAATATTTCTTCTATTTTTAATGATCATTCCTTGAAATATTACATATGATGGCATGTACCCTTGAAACCTCCACTGCGTCTAAATCCGTAGATGAAATCTTTCTTTTCATTGATAAATCAGACTTTTTTCACTGCTTGACTATGGCACGTCCGCTCTCTACTAATCGCGACGTATCTATGAACTGGTTGCGAAAACAGAAAAGGCTATACGTCAGCATCCTTGGCAACGTCATGACGTCACTGTCGGGGAAGAGCGCGGATACTATAAAGCGCGGGGATAATCTAATAGGTGAACTTAATATATTGGTGAATATATTCACCAATATAAGTTCAGTAACTCCTTTATTTTATAGCTAAAACATCACCCATTTATTTAATTATTGTCCTGTAATAGTGTTCAATATCGCATTATCATTCCAATGATGCTTATTGAGGTTTTATTGAGGCTAATTAATACGTACTAAATTATTAATTAATAATTTCATAATTTCAATTTTGTGCGAAAATAAACACATCATCTTAGCTGCCTCTACCTTTCATAAATGCCGTTGAGAGGTTGACCACAGGAGTCGGCAGTTTTATCCATAGAGCAACGTACACAACAACCAGTGAACTTCGCGAGCGTAGCGAGCGAAGCGACAGGAATGCAACGCGTTTTTGGCAAATTCTGCTCTGACGCTTTATTTAATAAAACTAACAACAACACGCGGTATAATTCATGTCAGTCGATGTTTCTAACCTGATTTCTGGTCCGATTACCCTCTCAATTGCCGTGCTAGACGCTTAAATCTAACGTTAACGACATCTCGAAAAGAATCAGTCGACATGAGGGTCTGGGTGACGTCACACCATTCGTTCCTGAAGCATTTCGAGTTGATTTTTTAAAGAAAGTTATTTAACGTATAATCTATGAAATTTTACGTCTGTTATTTTTTTTAAAGTAATACGTTAGTGATTATTGATGTTTAAAAGAACGTAAAAGTTTATTTGACTTAAAACACCTTTTAAAAATAAAGGGAGATAATAGACGACTTTCACATTTAAAAAAGTTATTTCCCTTTGCGGGGTCAATCTGGGGTCAACCGGCGTAAGACACTGTTTTCCCTCTCTACCCACTCGGCACACCTCGGCCGATTCGTACCTCATCTAATGATGAAGGTGACGGAATCAGCCGAGGTTTGCCGAATGCCTCTCTACCATTACCAACTTCATGGGGCAATGTCTTGCAAATGAAATCTGTATGAATATGTTTTTTATGTTGCCCCATACTATGGCAATACAGGAACAGATCAAATTTGTCCGATAGCGTTTAAAGGTTGAAAATATTTACAGGTAAGTTACAAAGGTTATAGTGAGAAAAAAAGAGCGTTACGCCGACAACGGGAGATAACTCTTAATGTCGTGTTGGACTTTTCTGTCATTTAAAAGCTTTTTCCCACTAAACAATAATTTTACTTTTTAAACAAAATTGCAAATTTTAATAGATTAGACGTTATTATATTTTTAAATAATTTAATTTTGTTTGTAGTCTAGCCTCTGATTGGTTAATATCCAAAAAGGAACACAAATTATTTCTGTATAACCTGGTTTGGTATGGGGACACCCCCCCCCCCCCCCCTGACAACCAGCTGGAACAATATCCTCTCATTTCCAGTCCGTGGGATTCAGGGAAAATTCCATATTTAATAGATGTACCTTTAACTTCAAACAATAATTCGATCTTACCACATGTAAATAAACAACAAGGCTGCTAGGCTTGTGTATCAGTTTTTACCTCCCCTCGCTTCTCATCACTTCCGTTACTTCCGTTACTATGGTTGTATTATTGAGCGGCAAATTTGAACTCAGAAAAAGCAAGGAAAATTTACACCCATAGTTATTTAATGATTTTAAAATTAAATTATAAGGAATGACTCTAATTCTTGGCCAAATTATTCGAGTATAACCTGGTTTGGGTCAGTTTACGCTGTTTTATAATCCGCTTCGCGGATTATAAAGCGTAAACTGACCCAAACCAGGTTATACTCGAGTAATTTGGCCAAGAATTAGAGTCATTCCTAAAATAATTTACATATAAAATTCAACTCGAAATGCTTCAGGAGCGAATGGCGTGACGTCACGCAGACCCTCATGGCGACTGATTCTTTTCGAGATGTCGTTAACGTTAGATTTAAGCGTCTAGTACGGCAATTGAGAGGGTAGTCGGACCAGAAATCAGGTTAGAAACATCGACTGACATGAATTATACCGCGTGTTGTTGTTAGTTTTATTTAATAAAGCACCAGAGCAGAATTTGCCAAAAACGCGTTGCATTCCTGTCGCTTCGCTTGCTACGCTCGCGAAGCTCACTTGTTGTTGTTTACGTTGTTTTATGGATAAAACTGCCGACTCCTGTGGGTTGACAGACGACATTTTTTTGTTTACAACGGGGCGCTCAATACTGAACGCTCGTATTCGGAATGTTTCGGGCATACTCATATGTTCGTATTTACAATCTTAGCGTTCAATAGAACGCTAACATATTAAACGCTAAAATTCTCTAGACTTTTAGTATTTCTTCTATATTTTTTAAAGACTTTTTCATACTTTTTATTAGCTATATAATAAAGAAGTTATTCTATTATCCTCGAGTACCAAACTCCGTCACCATAAGCGGAAAACACACAGGGCTATTCTCTGAATTATTTTTGGATTTGTTTCTTTTTTTGATACACTTTGTAATGAACTTATATATCGTGTTTTAGTACTGTGAACAAAAATTAAAAGTCCACTTATCGAACCGATATAACACTAAATAGATCGTGTCATCCGTGTACACCAAGTCCAATGAACGTAATTCCGTCACCAGGGCACTCTACCATATGCCTCACCATATGACTGATTTAATTTCCTTTTATAAGGCAATCTATGTCTTGTTAATAACAATAGAAGATAGATAAGAAGGATTCACTTAGAAGATATTATGAAGTCCTTGGGGGGGGGGGGGGTATCATTGATCCTTATATAAGGAAATAATCATTGGCAATTGACAAAATACAAACCATCCTCGCAAAGTGAAATTAAAATCCTGCGTAGGTTTGGCAATGCATATCTTTCTGCCCCGAACTGTACTGTATATCTTTACTGTTAATTTTGCAAAATGAGCAGAGAGTATTTAGAGCAATGATAACTTTCAACATTTACAGTTAGTCTGAAAATAACTTAAAAAATAGTTTGAAGGCCTCGGCTTGGTAGTAACATTTTCGGCAAGTTTTTGCATAAGTAATATTTTCTGCATACATATTTCAAATATGATTATTTTGGCGTAGTTACATGCATGGCGACTCTTTAAAAATCTAGTGTACCTTTGTCTAGCTCAAAATTCAGGTAACTTTTTCTATAAGAATCATAGGATTATTATTGACAAGAGAAAGCCATTTATGTCAACAAATGTATTGGTAGTATAGGATTCTCATTTCGATCTGAGGTAATTTACTTTTATCATTAAGGGGCAACCTGCTGAGAGGGTTATGAGAGGGCTTATAGAAATCTTTACAAATATTAATCCAGCAACTTATGAAATATTGATAATATTTACTTCCAATGTTGGAAAATTCAAGGAGAGAAGTCTTTTCAAAAGAATAAATGAAGAGTTATCAACGATCACTCCATCTCATAAAACCCACTTCAAGTGACCATCCAATTTATGTGGATTATGTAATTGTTTGCATACCTAGATCAAATGTTTATGATTAAAGGCTGCATATTAACGCTGATGTCACGTAACTCTGCCAGCAGAATTCGAACTTTAATGTCAAAGCTTTTATAGTGTGTTTCTATGCAGTTTTGCGAAACTTGCACTATGCGTGTCTCTTCAAAAACGGTCTATATTCCAATGGCTTTCACATAGTTATCACACAAGGGTTAAAAGCAACATTCATTCAATATTAGAAAAAAATAATAAAGAAAAAAGGAAGAAGAAACAAAAATGAGAATCGAATATATATATATATATATATATATATATATATATATATATATATATATATATATATATATATATATAAGCTCCAAAAATATCACCCACAAGCTTTTTAAAAACAACTATTTATTTCAATCTTTTTTGTACTAATTGCCGTAGTAAAACAGATAATGTACACATTTCAATATCTTAATATATTTTAAAGCATAATTTTAAGATCCAGTCTCGAACGCAATTAAGTTTATAATTTTATATGAAATGATTTTTATAATTCAGTGTCTTAGTGTCCTAATTCTCATATAACAGTAGATCACTTATCTAATCTTTTCAATTGTTATAGGTCACTGTGCCACATTACCTACAAAAATCGTGTGCACCTAAATGTAGTCTCTCTCTCTCTCTTATTATAGAACGTCAATCTGTTTCCAAGCTGATTTTAACTGAATACCTTGAAGAAACAACTTGGCCGACGTGATTCTCATTTCAGTACCCTGAAAATTTGTGCACAGTAGTACAAACCATCTCTAGATTTTACCAATGATAGAAACGGGTTAGATCTGCTACCGCTACTACAAACTTGATTTGTAGAAGAGAGAGCTGATCAAAACCGTGGCTTGCGACGATATAAAGTAACAATGCAAGTGAGAAAAAATCTAAATATCACATTACAATGCAGAAATGCTGGTCAGGTCACTCTATAAAAATCTTCTTTTCTTTCCCCCAGTCAAATGCCTCGTAAACACATCCATCACTAATTAAAAACAACCATCAGGCTCACTATTTTCACTTATTACTTTACTTATTACATTTCCGGTTTAAATTTGACGAAGGCAGCACTTCCGTGTCTGTTGGCTTGAAGCATACAAAAAAAATGGATCACTTAAATGACCAGAGCACGCATTCTTTTCACGTTCAATTACATCCATTGCCTGTAAATAAAATAACAGAATATAATTATGTAATAATTATCATTTATGCTTTCTTATTTAAAATATCATTACATTGTCAAATACACTAGCAAGGATTCAATTCCTAAAATCATGTACCGCTATGTCTTGTATGAAATGGTTTCTTTTTCCTAGCATTTAAATCCTACCTGTTGAAAGAAGCTTTTAAGTTGATTAAGATTATTTTGAACGACAACACAATATAGGAAAATTTTCTTTTAAAAAAAAAAAGAAACCAACCAGTAAGACAAATATGTTGTCTTTAAAAGCATATCTTTATATCGACTTTATGTGTTCCACTTGGAATTGGTACGTGGTTGTCTGTGAAATAATGTGGAAATAACAGCATCATAAAGAAATGATATTTAACTGCTATATCCAGTTGAAATTTATATTTGTGACTTGGTAAAATTTTTCATTATATGGACGATAAAAACGCTTGAGAGAGGAAATGACATCTGCTGGCAGTTTCGGGTGTTTACGCCCTTTAGTTTCGTCCAAGCAGTGGCCCCTTTTGTTGGTTATTTTCTTCTTGATACACGGAAATCCGCGGCTTTTGTTAATTAAAAAATGTTGTTCTGTTATAAATTGTTTCAATCCTAAAAAATTTTGAACTTTCTTCATTTCTTCCCCCGGATTCGTCACTAAATTTTCACCGTGAACAAAATGAATCTGTTCCGAGGGAAACACAGATAACCAATTCTCTAGATGCTTGACATATAAACCAATTCTTATCACAATCCATGACGTATTAATTTTAGTCGTGTCGTTATTCAAGAAAGCAGAGCTTTGAAAAGACTTGATTTTTCCACCATGTTTGCTAAGAATTTGGGTGTAGTCTGAAATGGCACGGGTCACGGGGTCTCTAACCACTAGTAAGAGCTTGGTTGAATTGGACATTTTGAAAATCCTTGACGGAACCTCTTTCGTAACGAAGTAACTCGGGGTTTTCTCTATTGTGAGCTGGTTTGGCATCGTCTCTGGCATAAGCATTCTGAAAATGGAGAAACAAGTTTAAGAATCAAGTAACATACTTTTCGCTACTTTATGCAATTTCCAAGAGATTTTAGGGAATTAAAAGCTTTTCTTTTCTGTTGATTTATAGATTTCAGAGCACTGAGGCTTACAGATACATTGATATCAATTCATGAAAGCTTGTACGTGTTGCATTTCGTATCATTAGAGCACATTCTACTCGAGACCCTTCCTAATTTAAACACTGGATGCTACCGAATGCATTTTCCTCTCGAGAGATCACAGAAAAAGGTTAGAGCTAATGGAAACATGTGTGTCTTCAAAGACCATTCGTGTATCATTTTATTAAAACGAGTAATTGCTTCGAGAGCCTTCTAGACAATCAAAGGGTTTTACTGAGTATTCATTTCTCCTGCAAGTGTCTTTGTTATGTTCCCCAAACGAAGTTTGGGAACATATTGTTTTTACTCTGTTTCTTATTATTATGTTCCCCAAACGAAGTTGGGGAACATATTGTTTTTACTCTGTTTCTTATTATTATTATTATTTTTCTTCTTCTTCTTCTTCCTGGGTACTTTTTTGTCCGCGAGTGATCTCGTCAACTACTCATCCGATTGAGGTGAAACCTTTTTAGGGTTAATAGGCATGTTATGTAGATTTGCGGAATCAAGGTCATTTTGAGCGCACGTGCATGCACGTGCGTGCGCGTGCAATGCGTAAAATGACCAATATACTTGATATAGCTGTAACTTTTATATTTTTTGATGAAATGCTTTGATACTCAGAATATAAGGATATATTAAAAGTGTAAACAAGATGACATGGTCAACATGCACATGCATGCACGTGTGCGCACGCGCAACGCGTAAAATGACAAATATACTTGATATATTTGTAACTTTTATACTTTTTGATGAGATGCTTTGATACTCAAAATTTTTATATATATTAAAAGTGTAGACAAGACGACATGGTCATCGTGCACATGCATGCATGCATGCATGCACGTGCGCGCGCGTGCAATGTGTTAAATGACCAATATACTTAATATAGCCGTAATTTTTATATTTTTTTTATGAAAAACTTTGATATTAAGAATATACAGATATATTAAAAGTGTAGACAAGATGATGTGGACTTCATGCTCATGAATGCACATGCGCGCGCGTGCAATGTGTTAAATGACCAATATACTTAATGTAGCCATAACTTTTATATTTTTTTATGAAAAGCTTTGATACTAAGAATAAACCGACATATTATAAGTGTAAACAAAATGGCATGGTCATTATGAACATGCATGCAGGTGCGCATGCGTGCAATGCTAAGATGACCAATATACTTGATATAGCTGGAACTTATTTATTTTTTGATGAAATGTTTTAATACTGAGAATATAAAGATGCATTAATAGTATAGATGAGATGACATGGTCATCCTGCACATGCATGCACGTGCGCGCGCGTGAAATGCAAAAAACTATCAATATACTTCATTGGCTTATTTAATGAAGCTTACAGGAAATAAGACACCAAAAGGGTGTTGGGGAGCGTTTGGGGAACATCTGTAACGGTCCCCGTTACAATTATAACTAGTTATTATTATTATTATTATTTTTCTTCCTGGGTACTTTTTTGTCCGTGAGTGATCTCCGAAACTATACATCCGATTGAGTTGAAACCTTTTTAGGGTTAATAGGAATGTAATGTAGATTTGCGGAATGAAGGTCATTTTGCACGCACGTGCATGCACGTGCGTGCGCGTGCAATGAGTAAAATGACCAATATACTTGATATTGCCATAACTTTTATATCTTTTGATGAAATACTTTGATACTCAGAATATAAGAATATATTAATAGTGTAGACAAGATGACATGGTCAGAATGCACATGCATGCACGTGCGCGCATGCGCATTGATTAAAATAACCAATACAATTGATATAGACTTAACTTGTACATTTTTTGATCAATTGCTTTGACACTCAGAATATAAATATATATTAGAAGTGTAGACAAGAAGACTTGATCAGCGCACACATGCATGCACGTGTGTGCACGCGCGTGCGCGTGCAATGAGTAAAATGACAAATATACTTGATATAGCCATAACTTTCAACTCTTTTGATGAAATGCTTTGATACTCAGGATATCAGGATATATTAATAGTGTAGACAAGACGACATGGTCAAAATGCACATTCATGCACGTGTGCGCATGCGCAATGATTGAAATAACCTATACGAATGATATAGACTTAATTTGTATATTTTTAGATGAATTGCTTTGAAACTCAGAATATAAGTATATATTAGAAGTGTAGACGAGATGACATGATCAGCGCGCACATGCATGCATTTGCATGCACGTGCGTGTGCGTGCAATGAGTAAAATCACCAATATACTTGATATAGCCATAACTTTTACATTTTTTGATGTTATGCTTTGATACTCAGAATATATAGACATATTATAAATGTAGACAAGTCGACATTGTCAACATGCATAGGCATGCACGTGCGCGCGCATGCAATGCTAAAATGACCAATATACTTGATATAGCTGTAACTTTTATACTTTTTGATGAAATGAATTGATACCCGAAATATGTAGATATATTTATAGTGTTGACGAGATGACACGGTCATCGTGGACATGCATGCACGTGCGCGCTCATGCAATGCGTAAAATGACAGATATACTTAATATAGCCGAATTTTTTTTTTCTTTTAATGAAATTTGAATATAAAGATGTATTAAAAGTGTAGACAAGTTGACATGGTCATTTTGTACATGCATGCCTGTGCGCGCGTGTGTAATGCGTAAAAAAAAACCAATATACTTGATTGCCTTATTTAATGAAGCTTACAGGGAATAAGACACCAAAAGGAAGTTGGGGAGCGTTTGGGGAACATCTGTAACGGTCCCCGTTACAATTAATACTAGTTGTATATATATTTAGTGGTGTTCTTAATCCTACAGAATGAAAAACAGAAATGTATTTGAAGCAGTTGTAAAGATTGCTTTTAAGTAAGAATTTGTAATCTACATCAAACAAACAACTGTGTTGGATGAAAAACTCTTAAAAAGTGTCATACAGGTATTGATTGTTCCCATTTGATACTATTATTTATGAGAGAAAAAAAAGCACGGAAGCTATGTGCACCATTTATTCGGATGATTTAGTATCAGCTATATAAAAGAAATAAAATAAAAATTACAATGTGATGATTATGGAAGACTTCATCAATAATCTAATGATTTACTGCTGAGAAATTTCGATTAAAACAAGTCATGAAAATCCCATTGAGTTTAAATTTCCAAAGTTGCAGCACATAAAAAGACAAGACCAAACCAAACAGCTGACCCGCAACAGCAAAACACACACCCATACCATCACCCACACACATACGCACTAAATATTTTTTCCCAGAAAAAAATCTTTAGGCCTGGAGAATTTCAGATGTGAGTAATTATACACTTATACATATAATTTCTCGACAGCTGCCTACAAACATAACACCAAATCTAGACTGCATCCTAATCAACGAAACTTGCCGTGTGAGGACGACTCTTGGTTAATATAATTTATCTTGCTTTAATATAATTTATCAGTTCACTTCTATTTTTAACAAAATACTGAAGAAGAGTCTCATGAGCAATAACGTTCACCTGAATCACATTGGTCCTACTTATCTTGAAAAAAAAAGTTATAAATTAAAGACCCCCCTCTATATTCCAATAAAACTTCTTGATCCCGTTTTGTGGTCCGATCCTAACCGCTGGAGCCAATATTTGAACAAACTTAAATCTGCACTCTACCTTATAGGATGCTTGTATATTTATATAATTAATAATCATATCCCAGTAGTTCTTGAGAAAAAAGTTTTTAAAAGATTTTCCTTATATTCCAAAGCACACTTATTATAATGCCTCCTTGGGAGGGGGGATAATCCCTCGATCTGAGCTTCATATCATGATTAATTAGAACCATGCTGTTCTTCAGGAGCCTTTTAATGATTTTTTCCCAATATATATACCTATGTTAACTACAATCGCTCATTGTGTCCCCACCCTAGCCCCAGGAGCCGTGATTTGAAAAAAAAATATTATGCATTTCCTATGGATGCTTACATGTTAATGTCACTATACATGGCTCTGCTATTCTTGAGAAGAATATAAATATGCAAGAATCCTCAGGTAGTGCGGGACCTATTTTTCAAATCATAAACACTGGAGCTAGGGTGGGCCCACAATAAGGGACTGAAGTTTTACACAGAAATATACATGTATTGGAGAAAAATCTTTAAAATCTTACTTACATGGTTCTGCTTTCTTGAGAAGATTTTAAAGATTTTTTTCCCCTATATACTGTGTATTCCTTAGTAAAACCTTAATCCCTTATTGTGACCTTACCCTAGCCCCGGGGGCCATGATTTGAAATTTGATTCTGCACTTTCTGAGAATGCTTGCACTTTAATATGAGTAATCGTGGCCTTATTCCTCAGAATTTTTTTTTTATATGTTCCCATGTAAAACTTCGATCTCATGTTTTGGCCACACTCTTTCACCATGGGTCAAGATTTGAACAAACTAAATATACATTATGTGAGGAAACTTTCAAATAAATGTTCAGGAAATCTTAATTGAAGTTTATAGACAACACACTGCACACGACAGACGACACTTGGAACTTTTCGTTCAGAAAAGACCTCTAGAGTTTCTGCTCAGGTGAGCTAAAAAGACGACGTCGAGAGGAAAGAGGTGACTAAGAGGAACTGCAAGCAACAAAAAGTGGAGAAAATAAGAAACCAAATATGTTGGAGCACTGTGTTCTAAAACGTGCAGAGAAAAGGTAACTGAAAAGTGGGTTGCAGTCCTATTATGCCTTTATTTCCTGTGATACCAATACCAATCGTGTAAAAAAAAATTGATTGGAAAACATGCAGTAGACTGCATTATAACAAGATAGACGTACTTTTTCAAGGAAATTTCAATGTTTCTCGAATCAATGAGTGACTTTGCTATTTTTTTATATTCTTATAAAGGATTTTTTTTATTTTTGTTATTTCTGTGGTCACTAACTAAAACGGATTTTTTTTTTCAAGATTTAAGCAATATATAATTAAGTATAATCCTCACGTAGTATTGTTATTTGAAAAACACTACTTCTTAGCAGACGATATGATTGATTCTGACAATTATACTTTATTTGTGCATTTAAAACAAAACCTCTATGGTATTATCAGTTTTTCTATGGATATATAAACCTTTCATTTCAGACAAAGTAATTACAAGAGACAGATAAATCATTTCCGATGGAGGAAAATGAGAAGATGGTGACAATATGCTGTTATTAAACAAAACGTAATCATGGAAGAAGATCTTTATTTAATGGCCATCTAAATTCTCGTATCGGAAAGTTCTATAGAGGTAAGGGATTTTCATACTCTCTTATTCTTCATTAATAGATGTACCACAGCAGACACTAGGAAAGTTAGTAAACATATTTAGTATGTTCCAATATTTGTTGAATGAAATGGAAAAAAATCATAAGAATTTTTATAAAAAGGAGGAAAATTGCGATTGTGGAAAAAAACTTATCAAAAATAGCCGTAAAAACTCACGACTTGTCATTCCGAGGAACTGAAAAATTGTGCTTCTCAATTTTCAGGTATCATATTGTCTACATGTCCGTCTGCTTAGAGTCGTGATTTTGCCGTGACCGTTTTTCAAAATTATTACAGAATGGAAAGACACCTATAAATTTTGAGTCATGTCGCTTTTTCTGTCTATCTGTGTGTTTATCTTTCCTTGTATAACTAACAAAAAACAGTTTTCAAAATAACATTTCCAAATTATATACAGGATTGACCTCAGGGTCTGTCTCTCTGTCAATACTTTTGTGGTTGTGAGCTGATAACTATAACGTTTTCAAATTTTGTACAAAAATACTTCTACGTTCAAAGAAATCATCTTTAAAATTCAAAAAAATCATATTGCTTTGTCTATCTGTCTGTTAGTATGTATATTAAGACACGAAAGTTCACTTTTCATGGTAACAATTTCATCGGGATTTGATTAAAAGAGAAAATCTATTAATGTTTTCTAGTCACATTGTTTCGTCTCTCTGTATGAAAGTATGTCCATTCTTTAAATATAAATCAGAAATTGTTACACATATAGGAGTAATTTTTCCACGTCACCTTCCTCATGTGCTGTTTTATTCTATAAACATTACTGTATCAAGCACAGTTGTCTCCTCCTATGAAAGCCCTTAAACGGGGCCCTCTCTGATTGTGTCAGTTTTGTTTTGTTCTTTTTAGAGAACATTTCAATTTCTGGGTAGTAGAGTGGCTTTTACAGGAAAAAAAGACCATATGACCAAGAAACGAGAAAAAATTGACATCGAGGATTGAGAATAATATTCATGGGTATCGTATAAGAACTTGTAATTGAACCAGTCTGGCGTTTATCAATTTTATGTTAATACGCATTTCTCTTCCCTTTTGCTTTCAAATTCATTCATCCAAATGACTTCATTTAAACTTCATTGTTCAACAAAAAGAGTTGGCATGTCTGCTGATCTGTGATGATTGACCTTCATGCAACTAAATAGGGTAGCCTAATGGTGGGCAAAAAACAGTGACTGTTATAAAATTTGTCTCTATAACCTTGCAAGGAATCAATAGTAAGTATGGTTAAGTAAGTAATAAATTGCTTTCTCACTATCAACTCACTGATTTTTTTTCTTATAAAATAATTTGAACTTGAAATGGGGTCTTGCCAAGAATCAATTTATTGTCCTTATGTGTGTGTGTGTTAAATGGTTCTAACTCCGGTTTCTATACTAACGTAATTTCAAATAGCTGTGAAAAGAGCAATTTCGCTTCTGGTCAAAGGAACTTTATTTATTCTTGGGATTATGGACTAAAAACTTCAATAAAACGTAAAGACTTTAAGCGAAGTTTATAGCTTAACTTTCAACAGATATTAAAAAATCGTTTTAACTAACGTTTGAAAATGGAGGGAGCACATTGCTCGGTAGGAAGTGATATAACAAATGCAAACAGTTCGTACCTGTACCACTCAAGCCCTTTGTGATAGTGTTTATCAAAGAAGTGTGGCTCTGGACCAGTAGCCTGGACGTCTGGGTGGACACGTAGAAATTCCAACAAGGCACGGGTCCCGCCCTTTTTCACTCCTATAATTATAGCTTGTGGTAGGCGACGTTTTCTCTCCTTTTCCATGTCCATTGAATATAGTTTGTCTGTTTTTCCCGAGACTTTTGCTTCTTCAGTCAATGTTTTGCTCCGCCTTGGATCGTCGTGTTTAAGCTGTTCTTTGAATAACGTTCCTTCGCTGATTACTCCAGACTGGATTTGACTAACATTACCATAATGAATAACATTTTGTAAGTTTCTGTAATGGTATCCCATTTCTAGAGGCCTTGAGTAGAATTTAGAGGATGGATTTTTTTTTGAATCCCAAGTTTCACGAAACAAATGCTGATTATTGAAACTAAAGAGACACAGTAGAACTAGTGAGCACAGACCAGAAATGAACGTGCACCACGATTTTCTTCGAATTTTTCTGATGGTTTTTGATGCCATGACACCCAACATATCCACTCATATTCTGGTCCAGTATTGAAAAATCATGTGTGTTCACACTTGAATTAAATGATAAAATCCATGACTGGAACTTTGCAAAAAAGTGTATTCTGGAAACACCAGCAAAAAACAATCATCGCCGATGGTATGGTTATATGACTCCTTGCAAATTGTAAACGTTCCATCTCATATCATTTAAAACCAACACTATTCATAATTAAGAAATGAAATGGCATGGAACAGAGATATTTAACACCTGGACGTCCCCCTATAAAGCTATCAGCATACCACTAATTTAACCCATTGTGAATGCTGTATATCTGTTTCCTCACACCTAGGTTAACCGTGTATCGATATAAAAAGGTTGCAATCTAACACGTTGATCCCCATTCACACTTCGGTATTTTTGTTTGATAACGGAATGCGCGCTGATAACTCCAATAATATACCTCTCTTTGACTGACAGTCACTGCTTATACTCATGTATTCTGTGGTAATTATTGATCCTTAGTTCCTTAGAGCGGGAGGCTTAAAGTCCTAAACGATTGGACGAGCATTTACAGTAGGCAGGGACGCTAAAATTCCCCCCTCTAACCACTGTACAAAATTATCGTATAAACATGTTATGGTTGGTGCTTAAAATTTACCAGGTCCCCTGTTATTTTGTTTACATTTGAATTTACTAAATAGAAATGCTATCCGATTAAATACATGTAATTATATTGTCTATCTTTTACAATTGTTGCTAACAGAAAAAAAGGAAGAAAAAGAATCTTCTTGTTACAATAAATATTGTTGAAGAAAATCGGAAAGCTGGCAGCTTAAGGGTTATCTTATGCTAATTTTAGATGATAACACAATACACTTCAAAATAGCTGATACAAAGTTTAACATGATTAAAACATTTCTCAGAAGCAGTACTGAAATTGGGTCATTTTCAAAAGAGCATTAAAACACTTACAAGCAAATATAATGAAATAAGAAACCTATGTTTCGCTTTGTGCGATCCTTCAGATCTTGGAATACCCATGCAGTTTAGTCCTATCTTGGTTTACCAGTTACGGACTCGGGGTGGTCGTATGAGAGTTGTAAAGATAAATTACTCTGACAAATAGTGCACAGGATCCTCCAGCACGCTCTATAGACCCATTAGGATCCTGTTTAATGACATCTTTGGTAAATATTTACACAAACCACTGAATTGTCAACTGATTCAGTCTGGACGTTTATAATTGTCTTACACAACATAAACCTCCATTCTATAGTGGGCCGGTGGGAGATGATATGGTTAGGGATAATCAAGATTTAACAAAGAGCCAATATTAAGGAGAACAGTGGATACCCTGAACGGAGGACCAAGCTTTTAAGGGCTTGATTGTTCGACCATACTGTAATCTCACATGCTTGTCAGGACTGTTTGACAGATATATACATTCGGTGATATGAAAATCTTGCTCTAAATAATGCTTTCTAATGTATAATTGAACAGCGTGGGAACCCTGTACCAAAATATAAAGACTAATGTTCATTTTTTTTCTTTTTTTGAGTGTCAAGGACCTATCAATTTGTGACAAAAATAAATACAACGAGTTTAAAAGGATCATTTAAATGATCCAAGGAATGATTTCCATAATTTCTTTTAAACCTTTCTCGTGATTAAGAAAGTATTACTGTGAATTAGTGGTGTAAGCAATTTTAGAATAATAATTGCTTTCCTATCAGTTGCTACTGTAGTATCTTCTGGCTAAAGCGATACTTATCAGAAAGTAATATCTGATATTAACAATGAATTTGACATGAGTTCGAAAAACTTTACAACATTTGGTCTTCTGCAGTATCTAATATCTAAAATTTTTCCTTATTTCTGAAAAAGCCAATATACTCTAAAATGTAGTGATATTCATCACCTTTTTTTCGTTGTTACAAAGTTAACATATTTACATGGTTAATCGTTGTACAAGAGGTTTGTGACATTGACATTATCTACGACATGAATTTGCATTAGCCCATTGTAACATTCCTTTATACATAAAATGAACACCCGGTATAGCTTTGATAAAAGCATTACAACCGTGTCGGGATTCTGTACTGTTCCTGACAACCTTCCGATGATACCGGCTCCATAACTGGTGAAAACTGTATTTTTTGCATATAGATATTTTTAGTGAGAAAATAATACTGCCCTTGACCTCCCCTGTAATGTTGACCTAATAATTTCTATTCTGTGCATGTTTAGTTTCCTGAATGCCACGAGGACATCCATCTTCACAATGTCCAGGTTTTGTGATATCTTTCCTCTCCATAAACCCTTGACAAAAGTTGCTTTTTAAAAGTTGGGCTAGAAAGCTGCCATTTCAATTGTTCCCGGTCTAGGACTGGGAACCAACCAGAAACAACCTTTTTAATTACAGTGTAGTATGTAAGTTTTGTAAACAAATATGACTTGCCTTTAAAATGGAGGATGCCAATATTGTAGGATTTGTGACTAGTTACCTCAAATAAAATATCGGAGAATAATTTTTGGAAGCCTTCTCCGTACAATCACAAAATATGTGCTATGGCTTTGAACAACTTGAAAACGACGGATTTGAAAGATATATTCTCATTGGTTGGTTTAAAATACAATTACGTCATGATTGTGTAATCACAAGCCCAACTTTTAAATAGCGATTTCTGTCATTGATTTCACAAAACCTTGACATTATGAAGATGGAGGACAGCTTGATATAAAGTCTTATCTTAAATACAAATCCATGTTGGTAAGAACGGTCACCTTTAATTTCAGCTCTTTAACTCTTTATATTTCATAATTCATTATTTTGCGGAACTCCTGTATCACTGGTGTAATTATGTAACCTTCTCATATGGTGAAACAAATGGAAAAAAGGCGTGTTACTTAACTTCTAAATATTGGTTATATACTTGTGTTTCTTGTTGATCAACATATACTTGAATCCTACTAGAAATGTCGCAGTCACTATCTTCATTGTTGTAGAGAATATTCAAAGAAAATAATGATTTTTTTTCACATCGATGCTATTAGCTTACGGTATTTATACATTACCTAAAACATAATACTTCAATTGTTCTACTGAATTATACCCGATAACCAAAGCAAATAAAATTTCAAATACATTTTAATATTCTGTGTTTGTTTGATAATCAAATACTGTTAAGTACTAGTGTTTCTTTACAATAAAAGCAGCATAGAATATTTAATCAAAAATGCTGAAAAAAAATATAATGGGTTACCTCTGCTTAAATGCATTACAAGACAGACATTGTAGGCGTAAACATACTGTCCATGCAAGTTAAGATAATAACTAAATGAGACTCTGTTGGCCATTTCGTGATGCATCCTTTGAAAATCAACATAATAGCCAATTTCTGATCGGTGGTATCATTCATTTATTGAATTTTTTTCACAATAGAGATTTGACATGCAGACAGTAGTAGCGAGGGGGAAAATTAGAGATATATTCTTGATTTTGTTTCGCAAAAACTCACGCGAGAATAAGATCTGTGGATCGTCTTTCGGGAAAACATAAATTGAGAACGACTTCCTGTCGTTTATTGCATAAGATCTGACACCAATCAGAATGATTTCGGGACCCTTTAACACGTAATATCTTTTGCAATACTCCTCTGTTAAATATGAAGAATACTGAGCAGTTTTATTTCTCGCTCATAATTAGAATCAACCATTTCAGGATAATTTATCATTCTTCCCAAGCGGGAAATGTTTGATTGCGTTTTCAAAGGATGTATCAGTGTTATCATTAGTTCTCTGAATTAATATTGAAAAGATCGTAAATCACGATTTGATGTCTCCAAGTACAATCGCTAGATGCAAAATACAATGAAAAGTAATGTATATGGCAGGCTGCATTCACAAAATGAAAAAGGTGAAGCAAATGAACAATGGTCGATCAGGAAAAACCCCCCATAAAAAACAACAAAAAGAACACAACAAAACTAGAGGCACTGCGAGCACTGAGCTCACAGAATGATACCCCCGCCTCCCATATATTTATAAAGGTAAAGTCCAAGTTTTGTTATGGGAGACCCCAAAATAAGTGTCAGGTCAAAAAATAAAATAGGAGTGCACAATGGCACTATGTAACAAAGATTCTGTGAAAGTATCATTCAATTTTATTCAGTGTGTAGGAGGAGTTGCGGATAAGAGATGGGTACCCCTCAATATTACAGAAAGAATGGCAGTGTCTATGTTTTTACTATTGGAAACCCGAAATATGTGTCTGATCAAAAAATAAAATAAGGAGGTACACAATGCACTATATAACAAAGATTCAGTGAAATTCTCATTTTACTCCATAGTATAAGAGGAGTTGCAGGTAAGAGATGTGTACCCCAAAGCATAACGGACGGACGTACAGACAGACGGACGGACACCCCCATCACTTTATACCCCCCGTTTTTCAACGGTGGGGTATAAAAACAAATATGTGAACAGCGCATAAAATACCCACCCTTGGAAATTCCAGCGATTGGATCAGGTGCCTAGGAGGAGTAAGCATCCCCTGTCGACTGTTCACACCCTCCGTGAGCCCTATGTACTGGATCAGGTAGACGGATCATTCCGTAGTCAATTTCAGTATAAAAACAAAGGCCTAACAATTGGTATGAAATATGTCAGTCAAATCATGACCCAATGATAGGTTATATTTGGTAACGAGTTCGTTAGAATGGCTAAAGAATTGACGAAATGTTGACTTTAAACGAGGTTGTTGAAATCCCTTTTACATCAATTTTTCTGTCAGTAGCCTGTCTCGGTTTGAGAAAGCATGCTTTTGAGTATCGTATAAGTTGGAAAACATAAACACCATACGCAGGTGATAGCGGAACATTACTACATAAGGAAAGTGGCAATGGAAAAGCTAAAATTTTCTCGTTTGCCATACAGTTTAGTTGTTAGTTGGTCCTTACCGTCTATGGTCATTAAACATTCAAATATAAAACAGATGTTGCAGACCCTGAGGTGTCTTTAGTTTCGAGTTCACTGGGATATACGGGGTAGACATATGAATGGAAGTAAATATTGTGAATGGATAAAACATCACCGATGTATCTGAATGTCGAATCGAAGGATTTCTTCTTTATCTTCTCGTGTAGAAGTTGTTGAATAAATTCTGCTTCATAAGAATATAAAAACAGGTCGGCTAATAAAGGAACACAATTAGTGCCCACGGATTTCCAACAGTTTGTTTGAAGACCTGGTCTCATAAGATTACATAAATGTTGTCAATAATGAACTCCGGCATCCTTTTACTATTAAAGAGATGGGTGAACATGACAAGCGATAAGCCTATAGTGTGACAAACATGAAGATGAAAAATTAAATTTCAATTATATCAAAATTTTCCTTGATATTTCGTCTAACATTAAAATATACTTTATGTAAAATCTCTACAATTTGCAAAAA